TTTTTTTTTTTTTTTTGGACTAGGGATGTTTCATTACTCTTTTCTTAAACACCTTCTTCACATATTTTCTTGCAGGATGATTCTGGAGGCCCGTTAGTGTGCAATTCAGTGGCAGTAGGCATTGTTTCCTTCAAAAATAAAGGGGTTTAAATATCCTGATGTACCGAATATCTACACTGATATTTCGAAAAATGCACGTTGGATCAAAGCAATGACGAAGAAAAGAGTTTTGTGTTCACAGCACTTGCAAATTATATCTAAATAAACAATACTGACCAAATAAAATTGTTTTGCTGATGACTTCTCTGTATTTTCACAATGACCACTTCAATGCAGATTGTTGTTTATGAGAAAAATTGTCTCAATGTCCATGCTTTTGTGTACATAATGGGTTACAATAATAACGCTTTTATACATGGACCTAGTAAATCATGGATGGATAGTATATCAGATGCCTGTGACTGAATTTGGGTTTGATATACACATTTGAAATTACATTTTCCATCAGAAGCGTAAAAAAATTAGTATTTTTTTCCAGCAAAAGGTCAGTAAAAGCAGGAGTTTAACATTCAGAATAGATTGATTGTAAAAAAAAAAAAAATTCCTAATTGATTTTTTGATGATACTCAAATTTGGGAATCCAAATACAATTTAAAACTCACATTTTTGTGTTTTTATTTTCTAGCAAGAATATATACATATATATGGGCCATTGTATAGTATTGGTTCAAAGTCAGAGTTGGAAACGTATTGGGGAAAAAAAAAAAAGAATCAAACAGATACCTTTAAAAACAACAATTGAAAAAAATTGACATTTTTTTCAATATTTTCATAAGTTGAAATATAGGGTTAGGGTTTGGGACAGCCGCCCACCTCCCAATTGAAAGTACCCAATAACTTATGATTTTATATATATTAAGCTTACTAATATTTTAAATATGATTGTGGGTTTCAATAGATAATAGAAGGATCTTAGTAAATGCTTTCTAAATGTATTTTTTTGGTCGTGGGACAGCAGTTTGGACCAATTCTGTAGAATGGCACATACAGCAACAGGGTCATAGTAACAGCATGACTGTTGTAACTGGAAACTGTAAAGAAGGTCAAGACCACAAAGGGGCAGACCAAAAACTACCATATAAAGCAGTGATAAAGACATATGTGTTTAAAAGCAATGTTTCATTCTAGGTGATATTAAGCAAACATATCCAATAGTTTCACAACAAACAAAAAAAACTAAACTAAGGATTTGTCCAAGTCCCTATTCATGAAAAGTGCCACATCCATTTGTGGTACATGTTCTGTGCTGTGAAAAATTCTACTATAAAATTGAAAATAAGCCATGACGAAAAACAGGTTTGATCAAACCAAGAGAGGAATCACAGGATTCCATCATGAATAGAGTCTAGAGCAGGGGTGGCGAACGTCGGTCCTGGAGAGCCGCAGCCCTGCAGAGTTTTGCTTCAACCCTAATCAAACACACCTGAACAAGCTAATAAAGGTCTGAACGGTTTCTAGGAAGCTACAGGCAGGTGAGTTTTTATTAGGGTTGGAGCTGAGGCTCTCCAGGACCGGAGTTCGCCACCCCTGGTCTAGAGCAATGCTGCCAAAGAAATTAAACTGCACCAGAAAGACATCAGTTTTACCAAGATATGCTGGAGAAGATCTTGTATTCAGGAACAGAAAGACGTATTTGCAGCAAAGTTGCAAATTTTGCATCTTGTGCCATCACTGACTGTCAGGATGTGTCTTGTGGTAGAGACCTATATAAATGACTGTGGTGGTCGCACCAGCAGCATCTTATTAAGATGAGTGCAACACACGGCCTGTTGCTCTCAGTAACTTTGATGAGCTTGCTATTGACTGGTAAGCAAACTAATGCTTTACTGATTATAAAATGATAACTGAACGGTTTTCTGTTATCTCAAACATTCATCTTTGTTTGCTTAGGCACATTTGGAGCTGATATCATCAATGGCAAAAAAGCCAAGAAGAACTCCATGCTGTACATGGCATCAGTGCAGATTGATGGAAAACACCGATGTGGAGGATTCCTGATCCACCCGAGCTACGTGCTCACGGCCGCACACTGCGATAAAAGGTAAGCCTGTTGTTAACCTGGAATATGTTTGGTGTTCAACAAAACGGTTTAATAATATGCAATTATGTTATGAATAAAGTGGCAACATGACTGTGATCCTGGGCACCCACAACATCAGTCCAAAAGGAGCAAATCTGAAAAGATATACAGTGCAAAATAAACATAAGCGCGCATCCTTCAAAGACGCCAAAACTGGGAACGATATCATGCTCCTGAAGGTACAAAATTCATAAATACATTTAAATGCATTATAAAATATAACAATATTAAGTTTATCATTAAATATACATTTATAATTACTTATTTTATTTTCAGTTTGATAATAATGCATTCATTTACATTTGAATAATACGTTAAATAATTTGATTAAACATACCATTAATGGTAATCACAAAAAACACTTTTCTTATGTGAAATTGTAGCTGTCCAAGAAGCTGAAAAATGGCAAAGGTGTGAAAACTATCAAAATCTTGAGCAAGGACAAACCACTGAAGCCAAAAACCAAGTGCAAGGTCGCAGGATGGGGTCAAACTGAACAGGAAAATATGGTGAACGTTCTTCTGGCGACAGACGTGTCGACTATCAACTCCTCCATCTGCCAGACAATGTGGAAAAAAGTGCGAGTGAAACTCCCCAACAATGTCCTGTGTGCTGGGGGTTTCGAGACTAAAAGTGGTGCTTGCCAGGTACATCTAAATCAATATTTTGAAGAATGTTCATAATTTGTGAGTATATATTCTTTTGAGCTCAGTAAAAATGAGACTGTTAATTGATCTCAAACGCATTGTTATTTCAGGGTGATTCGGGTGGACCGCTGGTGTGCAGTGGGACAGCAGTGGGGATTGTCTCTTTCAACCTGTCACAAAACTGTGACTACCCAAATGTTCCCAATGTTTACACTGAGATATCTAAATACAGAGAGTGGATCGAGGAAGTGATCAGAGGAGGTGCTTGATGCAATGAAAATGCATTTTACTCTCGTGCAGCCAAAGTCAGCTGTTATGGTGCCATGTGTATGCTAGCTGTCAAAATTAGTCAATAACACTTAGAAAAGAAAAGAACAACAAAAACTCATTAAGCAATGACTTTGCATTTTTCCTGTCTAAAGCGCCACTTCAGAGAGAGCGAAACCAGCTAGGGGGCTGTTTGATTCTCAACCACTGCTAAAGTTCACCACCATCACCACATCCGAAGTTACACAACTGTCTAGTTAAACAGAAATAGATGCAACACTGGGGGGAAAAAGAAGTTTGAAAAGACACTTTCATGCCTTCAAAAATAATAAATGTACATTTTTGAGCTTCGTTTAAGAATTCCTGGAGACACAAGCAATTGATTTGTCAAGGTGAATAAAAAGCCTTTATAGCAAAGAACTCATTTAGTCTCTTTTTTATTATTATTATTTTATTAGACAGTCAAAATAATGTTGTTGTTGCATGAAGCAAACAAGGTTGAAAAGGAAAAAAAGAGCGAGAAGAAATTGCTCCAGAAAGAATGTCTGCCATCACATTAGTTACTCTAATTATTATTATTTTATTAGACAGTCAAAATAATGTTGTTGTTGCATGACGCAAACAAGGTTGAAAAGGAAAAGGAAAAAAAGAGCGAGAAGAAATTGCTCCAGAAAGAATGTCTGCCATCACATTAGTTACTCTACAGCAGAAGTTCTCATTAGGGGTGATGCTTTTCTATTATGATCGATCTTTAAGATGTCCACAACCTACTTTTCAAATTAATCGTAGAGACTGTGATCTTTTATGTCCTATAAACATGTCCTGTTTATTTCTGTATGTAAATGCATCCGCGCAGCTCTCTCGGAGCTGAACACGGACACGCAAACTATATTTTGGGCTGCTGCTAACTTGACATACACACAAGAAATGTGCCAAAATGCCCGACTTGGCGAGTATTCTTGTCAACACAAATAGGTTACGTCTTGATGAACGTCAATAGCAGGGAGAAACAAAGATGTGTGTCTGTATATTAGATAGGTGCGTGCATTAGGTCTTAAAATGACAGTAGCCTAATAAACCTGCTGCTGTCTATATCATTAATGTTAATCAAAAAAGAAAAAAAGAGAAAGAGAAAATCACTCGCTGCTCTTGATGGTATAATTTTTGTCGCTTTTTTTTATAGAAATTAGTGTAGTCCTTATTAAGCTTGACGACTTTTTACTTTTATTAGTTAAGCTAGTAGGGACTACTGTTTTTACTTCTCAGTAACTTGCAAAACTGTCTTTAAAACCAACATGAAAAACAATCATGATAAGGTCATAGATTAAGATATGATATTTTCGCCACAACGCCCACCCCTGGTTCTTGTCATTCGCTGCATTTCCTTAGTTTAACGGACTTCTGCTTAACTATGTAGGCCACATTGCACAAATCCCACAAACACCTAATATGTTTCCACGCACATACATGCTCTTTAATCAGCATGTTCTGGTAAGACGACATGTGCGGCAACTTTCAAAATGAGTCAAAACGTGCAGAAAAGAGCTTGGGTCTATCTCGACATGAATGCAGCATTACGGTGTGGTAAAGCTGAAAAGTGTTACTAAGTAATGCTTTTATGTGGTTAGAACCTATATAGACTGACTCCAAGCTTAATTTCCACAGTCTTGTAAGCAACAAGCTATTAAAAAAAATTGTTGTTAGTAAACACATTCATGCAGAAGAACTACATCCCTCAAAATATTTGACATGATTTATTTTACATCAGACAGAGCAACATGGAATTATAAACTACACAAAACTCAGTTGCAGTCTTTTAGTGCC